TATGTACACATATAATATTTATATTATATGATATTTATTAAAGTTATGATTTAAAAAATTCTTTTTACATGTAAAAATAAATGTTGCTGACTATATACAATAATTTTTGTAATTATAAAATTACTAGACGAGTAATAATTATAATTTCTTTGTTTTCTATATTATTATATTGCGTGAATCATAATTTATAAATAGCACTTTTGAATATAATCAAAGAAATAATTTTAAAAAATTTCTTAAAGCATGATTTGTATTATATAATTTAATACTAGTAACGGATTTTTTTATTGTCTAAAGTCGTGTAAAACGGACAAATACAAGTAAGAGTGTCATTGTTCAATTCTTTTTTAAGCTTGTTTGCAAATCACAATAAAAATTTCTTCTGCATTACACTCATGGAAAATCAAATTACACTTATGCATTAAATAAAGCGTACATTAAATAAAAGTACAAACTGTATGATGTTGTAATGTAGCCGTACAAAAATCGCCATGTTTCCACATCTTATTCTTATTCCACGACTTAAATCGTTTACTGCTGCGCTCCCAATAACGTAAAATAAATGCTCCGCGCGATACCTGTCAAAATAATTCCAATATTATTTCTATATTATATAGAAAAGGCCAAATTTATTTGAATAAATTTTTTTCGCAGAGCAAAGGAAGAAATAATTAATTATTCTCTATGAGAAAAATAAAAACTACGAGATAAAAATAAATTTAAAAAAGATAAAAATAGGCTCATTTTTGACATTTATATAGAAAGTAGAAAGAAATGATATTTTTATCTACTTATATTCAAAAATTAATAAACAAATTGTATGATCTTCTTTGGGGGCAATATATAAACTACCTATTTTTTCAAAATAGGGATTAATTTCTTACCCTAATAACTTGTACATTGCGCAAACGTGCTGTGTGAGAGCTAGAAACAGAGTGGAACTGGCAAGAAAAGGTAATGGTGAGACAATAAGCACGATGGCTATGCAGAATCGAATTAAGTAAAAATACCGCTCCTCATCGATAAAGAAATCATAATCAAAAGGATTCCTTCGCGGCCGAGACTCATTCATGGGTGATATAACATCGAGGATTTCTGGCATAAACATCCATATGAAGTACATAATTTGACATCCATACAACAGAACTGAAAAATTTGATAATTGTAAATCTTTTAATATAATCATTATATATAACCACGTGTACACAAGATATAAATTTTGGTTTTGAGATTATATTAATATTTGATTTCTCTATTTGAGAACCTTTGATAAGAGATATTAAAGTGATATAAGATTCAAGTGAATTAAAATACAAAGCATAAATAATATTCAAAATATGATTAATTTTTAATAGTTACGAACATCATTTCTTTTATTATATTCAACTCTTTCTTGAGAATGTTCGGTTTAATTATAATTCAATGCAGAAAAAATGTAAAAAGGATAATTGTCACAATCTCATATACAGAAATATAATTTCAAATTCACAAACAGAAATTTTTTGATAATAAAGTAATTTAATATTTCTCTTACCTGCATAATAAAACGTAAATAATTTCGTGATTTCGGCATGTTGATGCATAATCCTGATTTCATCGTTTGTTTTTAGCAAAGACCAATCTTGCCACATACACTCAAATAATTTTTTAAACTAAAAAGTAGATAAAGCACAATAAATAGATATGCATTATATTATAAAATGGTAATAAGGAAAGATGGAAGGAGATAATATATTTGATCTATTCGGGCATTTTGAGCGTTAGTACGAACATAATAATGAAATTTAAAAATTCTTCAAGATTAAAAATTTTATTGATACTCAAAATTTATTCATATTGTTTATTTTTATTGTATCACTTTTTTTATTTTATGGATATTGTTCATAATATTGGATGATAAGAAGAGTAATATGATAATGGCATAATTAGAATCAGACTAATTATTTGTTTTTACAAAATATGTCGCAAACACATACACGTACACTCGGCAACAGGAACGCCTTAACACATGAATTTAAATGCACGTCAGGGCATATATGGAAAATGCATACATGCTCCGAGATGTACATAAATTCATGTGTTAAGGCATTTTTTCCCCGTGTGTATGTACATACACATGTAAAATTTATAAAAAATAGTTTTTTAGAAAAATTTTATTATGTAATATAAGTTTTATATACTAAACTGCAAGTAATGTGTCTTATTGAATTTTATTAAGAATAGAAATAATAATAACCAAGCTTACTTTGTCTAAGTTTCCGGTATGTTCATATAGATGGAATAAGCTCCCTATTGTAACTAGCAATACTTGTATCGCAAACACCATGAACTCCCTATTGATGTTGGACGTGAAAATGCTATTTAGCTGGAAACATTTTATTAATTTTTAATAAGAATGAAGGGATGAAAATATAATTGTTTTTCAAGAGATATTTATCAAAAAATGTTTGGCTAAATTTCTCACATAATTAAATCTTATTTTAATGGATAATAAAATAGAAAAAGGCTCTAATATATCAAATATTTAAAAAATTCAAGTAGAAAATGGATTAATAAGAACCGAGCGTCAAATTTATTTTGATGAACATAATGAACATAATATTTAGTTATAAAGTTTTAATTCTATTGTACTATTATTTAAAAACCTTTTATTTGAAATTTATTAATTTAATAATTTATAATTTATAAAATTATTAATAATTTATTAATTTATTAATTTACAATATTTAATAAAAAGCGTTGTAACGTTGTAATTATACCTGAATAAATATACTGGATAGTGTAATGACAGTAATAATGCCTCTAATTAAGCGACCGCTCCATACAAGGCCATAGTAATTTATTAATTTATTAATTTACAATATTTAATAAAAAAGAATAGCGCGTTGTAATTATACCTGAATAAATATACTGGATAGTGTAATGACAGTAATAATGCCTCTAATTAAGCGACCGCTCCATACGCTTTGATAAGGCCATAGTCCACTGGCCAATAACAAAAATCGGTTCAATTTGTAATAACGCTTTTCAGGATGTTCCATCTATTTTAAGGAACCCAAAAGAATTGTTATAAATCGGAATTCATGGTTCGTTACTTTATTATAATTGTTTCACTACTTTTTTAAAGACTGCTTTTGATTATATATACTTCTACTTTTTCCGGTCTCACAACACTTATCGAAAGAATATCAAATTATATTAAAAAATGCGAAAAGTTTTCGGAGGTATCAAAAATTAACAGTGCATGTGTAACATTTAGCTAATAATATGGGAAAAACCTCGGCAGTACGCGCGCGCGTAAAAATGAAATAGTTTAAATATTTAATCACAAAGTTTCAATTCTATGTGCATTATGACTTATAAATCTTGCTAATTCTTTAATTTATAATATTCAAAATTAAAATAAAAATATCGTCAAAATCGACAACTACCTGAATACAAATGATAGCATGATGACATTGATAACGCAACGCTTCTGAAACAAGCGTACCATTCGCTTTGATAAGGCCATAGTCCAGTAGTCGATAGGAGAAATCAGTTTAAATTGTAGCGCTCTTTGGCATGTTCCATTTATTTCGAAGGATCCAGAAGAACTGATTGTTGAGGACGAGCTCGTCATCGATCGTTGCTGTTACTATAGTCGTTTTACCTCTTTTAAGATACACTCGATTATTTCCACCTTTTATTTTTTTTCGTTCTTACATTATCGGACGTATATTTATGAAAAATGCACGCGTTTGACATAAAAGCGAGAGACGTCTAGAATATCGATCGGCATGCATGTAATATTCGGCTAATAGCATGAGAAGGAAAAAATCAGTAGTCTGCAAACGAAAATTGCCTTCATACAGTTAGTTTTTTGCACGCGCGATTACCTCGCTGTGGCAGTATCGCGAATATTCTTTGACTATTACAGAGTAAGAAGAGCGAGCAACGAAAGGGAGATATAATGTAAAGAATATCCGAAATAGAAGAAAATATTGAAGTGGTATATTTTACACAATATACGACGATAAAAAGTTGCCAGATAAATTCCTCTTATGATAGAAGATGCGTCGGAAACGGAATTCTTAGTTGTAATATGGTAAATTCTTTAATATATTTTTGGTACATTTCTTAAGAATAATTCAAAATTGAAATGTTGAAACCCGGCAAGTATTTTTTTCGAAAAAATAAATGAACAAATAAATTGATATTTATCTATGTTTAAATTATAAAGGACTATCGATACATCGGATTTTGCATTTTTTGCGTAAGACTAGAAGTTAACGTACGAGAATCTTGATTTAACGAATCTGCCATTGAAATAAAAATTAGTGTCTTCTGAAAACATTCTATATTTCCGAGACAACAAAAAGATCGGACGGAAACGCGAGATATTTTAGTATTCCATGAGTAGCTCTTGCGAATATTGAGATCTTTGCATACAGGTATATCAGTTTCATATATACCTTGTGTGAATAGATGAATTTTCTACGAGTATAAAGAATGTGTGTGGCAAGAGGAAGAAGACAAGAGAGATTTCCCCATTTTCTCTTTCTTGTAATCTTTGTTTCGTGCGAGTCGCTACTTCATTAATATTTAATTAAATTGACTTCCATGAATGCTACTGCGTTACTCAACCTCGCAATTTATAATCGATTTTAAAATGAGCCCTTCTCGATGCGTGATACTTTGCATGACAAAATTTTTTATTCCGCGATTGCGAAGTAATATGTTGTTTCACGCAAAGATCGCATTTCAATTCAACGAGGTAACTTCGAGGAAGGGTTATAAACTCGAAGAGGAGGAATACAAAATTAATGGATGGGATCGATGCAAATCGTATTCGCCCCGACTCTTATCTCAGAGCATATATATGTCTTTAGAAAATAGTGAAAAAGGAAACCGCGTGGTGTTCAACTATCTACATATGTAGATGTGATATGGCGACATCATATGTTGCATGCAACAATATTTGACATATTAAAATAAAATACTCAAACCATATATTTCATATAATACATAAAATAACGACAAAACCATCGACTAGATATATTCCTATGTAGAAATGTGTTATAAATATTCTTAATTCTCATAGCAAAAATTTTTTGATTCTTATAAAATATATTTCTTAAAAATCTTGGATGGAGAAGAGAGAGGGAGGAACAATAGTAAAAAATAATTTTCTATGTATTGATAGATACTTAGATACTTGTATATCTATAGATTATAAAGAAATAAAGACAGCTTCTTGCGAAAGATAAATCAATTTCAAACTCGTCAAAGAATCTCTCATCGAAATAAAATCATGAATGGGTGTCGCGGAACATTTATGTATTTTAAAAATAATAGCACTTCACGCTCGAAGCTGTGAATGAAAATAATGTTTTTTAATAATTCTTTAATAGTTCCTGGATGCGTCGGCACAGAATAGGGAACGGTGGCCTTTTATGACTGTCTTCATTCCAACATGGATACATCACCTCCGTATACACTTCTAGCGAAAGTCCGGCCGGACAAGGAAGGCGAACGCCGTTCTCCAACGCTCTTACCAATTCACATAAAGGAGTCTTCTCATCAATATAAACCATACCGTTCTTAATATTGTCAATAATCAGGTCAACCTTCAGATTCGGTTGCTTGCCGAGGCTGAAGATCTCGTACATCGTCACGCCAAATGACCATGTGTCCGAGCGCGTTGAGAATATATTTTTCTTTATGCTCTCCAGTGCATACCTAAGAAAATCGTCCATTACACAATTGGGCATACTACAGAGATCGGCACTCGAAAGAATAACCCGATCTTCAAAATCCATAAGAGTTTCATTCGCGGCGAAAAAATATTGTTTAAAAAATTATTTCGTTATTTGACTATCATTGAAAAGTATTAGCATAGTGAAGATTAATATATTTTCTCTTTTACTTACCACCTCATTGGAAGATGACGCGATGTCTGAAAGCTATAATAATCGCTCTCATTTTCTTGCGCGAGACCGAAGTCACTGATCTTCACTTGAGTTTCGCTAGCCACCAGAATATTTCTCGCTGCTAGATCCCTATGAATAATATTCTTGGAACTAAGATAATCCATACCAGTTGCGATATCTAGCGCGTAGTATAGCAGTTTTCGTGTGATCTTCGATACATTATTATATTGTTCTCTTTGATCATGTAAAAATTTCAGCAATGAGCCATGCTTGACAAACTCCATGATCAGACATTTGGGTTCCCATATAATGCCTAGAATTTGCACGATATTTGGATGCTTGAGAGTCTGTAAGATAAAAAGACATTTTACACTGTTTTTCATAATTGATTTATTTTATTTTATCATTCATATATATATATATATATTAAGAATAAAAATTAAAATAATATTATGAATTAAATATCGTTTCTCCAAGAATTGCATTATGCAAACATTCTCTCTTAGAAGTTTTTAAAATTTCTTCATACACTACTGTTGTAATACTAAAACTGCATTCTACATACATGTTATATCTTAAAAATCAACACATATAGTAGCAAATTTAAAAAGAAAATATTTCTATATGTATTAGCGTAGAAATATTTTACTTAACATGTATGTAGAATGCAGTTTCAATATTACAATGGTAGTGTATGATGAAATTTTGAAAACTTCTAAGAGAGAGTGTTTGCATAATGCAGTTCTTGGAGAAACATTTAATTCTTAAGGCAATTTGTGTGATTCACCTTCATAATATTAAATTCTCTTTCAAAGTCCTTCTCAAACCTTTTCTTTTCTTTATCAGATACTTCTTTTCCAGGTTTGTTCGGTATTTTGATGGCTATCTGCTGTATCTCCTTGGTCTTAATGTGCATACGCATACCTATGAATACTTTACCATAGAAACCTGTACCTATAATATTATTTTTATGCACAAACCAACATTCGTTCTTGAAAACATCCTGCATCAGACCGAGACACGCTTTGCATTTCTTTCTAGTGCAGCACTGTATTTCATCATTTTTCCAGTACATCATCTTATCACCGCAGCTTTGGCAGATTAAATGAAAACTGCCATCAGATTTATTGCCGTCATTATCGTCATGTATTAGGTTCGTGTGATTGGTGACTAAATTGTCATCAAACTTATTGTCTTTATTATCTTCATATGTTAAATTCGTGTAATCGGTAACCATACTGCTCTTGTACGATTCACTGCTTGATCTTCTCTCCTCTAAATCGCTTTCATCGTCGTCGAAGAATACTTTAGGGTATAGTGTAGCATAAGGACGACACCGATTATACGTTGCATACATAATCTGATTCATATCTCGCGCAATGGCCTGAGGTTGTTTTCTTGTGTTTTTTTCACTCCAACATTCCTTCATCAAAGCATAGATTTCACGCGGGCAGTTAGCAGGTTGCGGTAAATATTTTCCATCTTTATGAAACTGTAAGAAAATGCTGTTTAATCAGATATTCATGTTGCAATTTGATTTATTTATACGAAAAATTAATCGTATGCAAATCAAATTTGCAAATAATATAATGGTTTGTAAATTGGTTAAATCGAAGTATAGAATATATATAGAAAAACGATAAAGGCGAATAGAAAATTTTATAGAAAAATTTAGATCATAATATATAGAGCAATTTTATTTAAATAGATTATTTCTAATACAAAATAATAGTATAATAATTAAATCTTTGTTTAGAATAAATATACCTTCTTGACAATATCAATATTAGTATATGCGGTTATGGAAATTCCTTTGGAGAATATCTCCCACATGGTTGTAGCCAGTGCCCATATATCTGCTTGAAGGCTTTTTTTTGCAGATGCTAGATCTGTGTAAAATTCTGGTGGTATCCAAGGTATGCTGCATAAAATAAAGAAAAAATCATGGAGAATTATATTAAACATAATCAAATAAGACTTTTATCTTTTGACTTACTCGGTCTCGGTGTAAGTGAAAAGACCAGGGTCCCCCAATTTAACACTCAATCTATTATCTGTATGTTCATGTACAAAAACTCCCGCGCATCTTATCTTTCCATGAACTATATGATTCTCCTCCTATATCGTAATTATTCTAAATCTTATTAAAAATATTAAATTATATATATATCTACATATGTCTTAGCCAGATTACATAATCCGTCGTTTTATAAAACGTCTAGATATTTTATAAAGTGCGGCCACATTCTCAAATCATGATTGAAAATGAAATATTTTATTATCTGGCTAAGAATTTTAGTCTTTTTATAAAACGTTAAAAAAACGACCAAAATTCTTAACCAGATAGTAAAATATTTCATTTTCAACCATTTCAATCAATTTGAAAATGTGGCCACACTTTATAAAATGCCTAGATGTTTTATAAAACGATGGATTATGTAATCTGGCTACGACATATATATTCACCCCAAAGATACTCTCTTACCAAATGCCATAAGGCTGTTGCCAGACCGGCGGCGGCTTCGACCATATCGTGTCCTATTATAATTTGAGAGTTATTGCGCAAATACTCGTCTAGTGGACCTAACTTCACCAACTCGAGTAACATCCCGACTGACGGGGCCACAGTTATACCGTACAGTCTAAAAATGAAACATGAATATTACATTTATTCCTCCAATATTTTTTAAAGATTTTACCTGATCAGAGCTTCCGATCGTAATTTGCCCCATTTGTCAGCTAGCTCTAGAAATTCTTTAGTATAACTACTATTTCTGAGTATCTTCATCACAACTTCGAGTTTCTTGCCTTTAGCGATTTGCCATATCGCTCGATGTACGCTCGTCGCGGACATGGTAGGAGTCAAATCTTTGTTATTTTTGCAGAACGCTTTGTATATCTGCAATTGATTCTGCGATACGCACCGCGGTCCACCTTTCAACAGAGCGATTATCTCCTCATTCGCCGCTAGTTCGCTCGCAATGTTTTCCGAAGCGCAAATTAACAATGGTGATACATCTAAAGAAAAAAAATAAAATAAAATATATATAGAAACAATTAAAATTTCGACTTTCTCCCTCTATAGTGTATGTTCAATTCATGTATAACTTTTATTGTGTACCATATTCTGAAGGTGGCAAGCATTCTACGAAATACAATGAATTGACAGGATTTTGCAGTGAAGAAATTATATTCCCCAAAGAAGTATAGCTCTGTGTACATGAATCTAATCGGAAATCGCTGGGACCAATTTGCTTCACTTTTTCCGATTGTGGTTTCCCGGCTTTGTTGCAAACATCTATGTAATAAACATCGTATTCAGTTTCGCTCTCCCGCAGTATATAAGTTCCTGGTTTATTGGCACGTTTTTCCCTGAGTTTCGCATATGCAAACTCTTTTCTAAGATATTTTTGAAAAGATTCTTTGTTATATTACACATCACATATGCAGAATTATAGCTCTATGCCAGTTTGTGAAAATTATCTTACCCGACTGGACCATGGCACTTTAATTTATATAATCTTCCCAGAGTAGGTGTGACAACGTTTTTACAAAGATTGAAAGTCCACTTAATGGACAAACGGTAATATCCGTCTAACACAGATACAAAGGACATTAACATCTCATTTGTATGTCCCATAAATTTTAAGTATGATGGTATGCCATTCTTCCTCGAAATTTCCACAGTGTTATCCTCTCTGAAAGATGAAGATTTGACAAACAAAAATTTATTTTTTCTGATATATACAAGTTCCTTGATCTATACAGGTTATATGATTATAAAAAATATTAGGTCTACCGGAAAGTTCTGTCCGTTTTTGGAATAAAACAAAATACAAATTTTTATTACCGTCAATAAACTTTATTAAATAATGTAATTGCCATTATTATTAATGATTTCTTGCCAGCGTGAGGGCAATTTGTATATCCCATTTTCGAAAAATGTTTTATCTTTTGATGCGAAAAATTGAACCAGTGCTTGTTTGATATCTTCTTCATTTTTGAATTTTTTGCTCCTCAAAAAATTTTGTAAGGACAAAAACAAGTGATAGTCGGAGGGTGCTAAGTCCGGGGAATATGGTGGATGCGACAGAATTTCCCAGCCTAGTTCTGCAATTTTTTGACGAGTCCCCAAAGCAGCATGTGGCCTGGCATTATCATGATGCAGTATGATGTTCTTCCTATTGAACATCGCCGGCCTCTTTTCTTGGACTGCTGTATTTAAATTATCCAGTTGCTGACAATACTTCTCCGAATAATGGCAATTACATTATTTAATAAAGTTTATTGACGGTAATAAAAATTTGTATTTTGTTTTATTCCAAAAACGGACAGAACTTTCCGGTAGACCTGATATAAAATTATTTAAATGAATAGAACCGATTTGCATTTTAAAATCACATATTAAGAAAAAAAGCTATATATAACTCATTGAAAATCTTTTATTACATATGTAATCTTATGGAAATAAGAATTCAATGTATTATATATACATACCCTATAGAAATAAAACAAAGATCTTCTATAGCACAAAGCGTTTTCCAATCATCAGTGTCAGTCTCACTGTATTTTAATTCCTCTCTGTTGATTCTAAGTAAAATTTCAGCTGGTGGATTAGGAACTTTATTCATTATTGCTTTATATTCTTCACATAGATAGTTTGGGGCCATATTTTCAAATTGTTGCAAATACTGCTGTTTAACATATGAAGCATCAAGGTGCTCTTTAGATATTCCTGCCAATGCATTATAAATAGGTTTCTTAACAAAAAAGGCATGCCTTTTAATACATTCTTTGGGAATATACTTCTTGTATTCTGATTCTACAGTTTCCCGTGGTAATTGTTTCTCGAGCATTTCTCTGCAACAAATAAAAAACATTGCTGTATATCATGTTTCATGTTATGTTCAACAACTATATAAAACAAAATCTATAATAAGTTTGCAAAAGATTACTTATGAAACATGAAAGTTAATTATATTCTTTTTAGTTAAATAACTTGTATATTACCTATACATATCACTAACTCCCAGGCCAATCAGTTCATCTTTATGCTTCTCGTAGACAATATCGGGTACTTTATTATTCATTATATCTGCACGAACTTGCTGGAAATAATAATTGTAAGCTTGTTCATCTATCTGTTTCAGTTTCTGCATGCTGCATGGCTTGAATCTCAAACGGAAGTCAAATCTGTTCTTCTCCCTGCCTGTGAACTCGTATCCATATGGAAACCATAGTTTTGAAGAATAACTTCGCAATGCAAACAGATGTCTTGCCAATGGACTTATCTTGAAGAACTTGCATATCTAAAAATTAAACAGCTTTTTTGTTTATTGAGAAATCTTAAAAGATTTATATTCTGTGGAAAGAAGTATAATAAAAAATTAATATATCCAGGTATTAATAAATAAAATATATGTATAATAATTATTAAAGAAAGAATTAATGTAAATTATCATATAATGCAATAAACATACAATATTGCATTTTTTAACAGTACAATATATTTAATACATTTAATAATCTGATTTCTGCTAAATTTATTTCTGATATATCTATTTTATTTCAGATATTGCTTTACAAGTCGATTTAATGATTACAATACTTGCCATGTATTGTTGTTTACCGAATAATACCATGGTATAATTAATACAAAACACGACAAAGTTTCGGCATAGAAACCGCCAAACCAGAAAAATTACTCATAAAAACGATGAAATTTAACTTTATCTAATAAGAAAAAGAAACCATCCATATACATACCTTGATACATAAATCTTCAACAGTCTCACCGACGAAAAACGTAATATTTATTTGTTTTTCATCGGTGGCCACATAAATCACTGCTGATCGCTCGTTGTCCCTCATATTCTTAATTAATATACTATCGATACTGCCGAAGAAAGTACCTTATAGATACATGATAACGCTCGTATTCCTTTTTCTCTTTTGTTAATGTATAACAATATCACGATGTAAAATGCAAGCGAATCAAAGCAAATGAATCAAGACTTCCATAAAATATCTCACATTCCACAATATAACCTTCTGTGTCTGTGTAAATCATATTCATTTAAGAGAAAAAATTAAATATAGGGAGTTTCATCTTTGTGTTTAGGATAGAAAATTTCAATCGTATTTAAATATCATGCCTAGTCTGAAATATAGAATTAATATTTTTATTTATATAATCTGGCAGCCAATCAGTTTAACAAACTCGTTCATTAAATGAAATATTAGTTTATTAGATTAATATTTCTTTTTTTTTCTTTTATAAATTTCCGTTCTTTGTGAGACGTATAGTGAATTCGATTGGATGATTAGTACGCATTGCGAACTAAGGGCCTATCCAAACGGATTTGGATAGTCGCATATATATGCATAAGGAAATTGATTGATCCATTTCTTATGTGTTTATTTTTCGATCAATCAATTTCTTTATGCATTGTTTATACTTTATACGATTATGCAAATCCGTCTGGACAGGCTCTAAAGGTTGCGTTCAAAAATTTACTCGTCAGGTATAGTATTTTTTGATTGACCAATCAGGATAAAGAAATCTTTGCTTCTTCTGTCTGAATTGGTCGATCAAATGCTACTCTATACTCCGACCGAATGGTTTTGGAACGCAATCCAGGAGAAATTCCAGATTATTCCTTCGTCTTCGTCACTTCGTCTGCAACGATATTATTGAGTAGTTGAGTACTGCTGTGAACTTTGAGAAAGTCGTTTGTCTCGATCGTTTATTTGCGCTTCTTTTATCAAGGGGAGTGATCTCGATTGCGAATCGGTAGCTGCTAATCATCTCGATATCAGGTAAGCGTTTGGCGAACATCTGTTTCGTCGCGATACGCGAAAATCCGTCGCTGTTGGACCGGCTGGGAATTTCTTTCTTCATTGAGGCACCGCCCTCCATTCTCTGCGTCACGATTCCTTTTGTACCGCATCGATCGATTATTATACATTTACATATTAGGTTCGTAATTGCAAGCTTCGAATTCTTTCTTCATCATAAATATTATGATGATAACGCAATCTGTAGCGTTAAATTTTATTTTATATCACGTGAGAATCCGGGAAAGATTCAAGATTTTTTTGTTTTTAAATCTTGTAATTACGACCATTTTGTGCAAAATGTTTCCTTAAGATATAAATTATGCGAAAGTATAACTTATAAGATTTATATTAAATAATTATGGCTGATTGTACTATGGAACACTATCGTTTTTCTTTAAATCAATATTGTTGGAATTATGCAACTTGTACATAAATATTTTTTATTCTGTGAATAGTATAATGATTGGAAAAAGTAACATTCCTAATAAGTTTGCGATAGTGCAAAATCAAATTTCTCTAAATTAAACCTATATATTTTCAAATAGCTGTATCATATGCAATGATTTTAATATGTAATTATTAATTTTTTATTAATAATACATAGATTATCATCTGAAATATAGATTGGTGTTAATAAGTTTGTTGAATCTAATAAACCTAAAAAACTTTTGTTATAAATTGGACATATTTCTTTTATTCTAGATTCATCATGCAAATCTTTGTGAAAACTCTCACTGGGAAAACCATCACCCTTGAGGTAGAAGCTTCTGACACTATAGAAAATGTCAAAGCCAAGATTCAAGATAAAGAAGGCATTCCTCCTGATCAGCAGCGCTTGATCTTTGCCGGAAAACAATTAGAAGATGGCAGAACTCTTTCTGATTACAATATTCAGAAAGAATCCACACTTCATCTGGTTCTACGTCTTCGTGGAGGAATGCAGATATTTGTGAAGACTCTTACAGGCAAAACCATCACCCTTGAAGTTGAAGCTTCAGATACCATAGAAAATGTGAAGGCCAAAATCCAGGACAAAGAAGGAATTCCGCCGGATCAACAGCGTCTGATTTTTGCTGGCAAACAACTTGAAGATGGCAGAACTCTTTCCGACTACAATATCCAGAAAGAATCTACGCTTCATTTGGTTCTGCGTCTTCGAGGAGGAATGCAAATCTTTGTGAAGACACTCACAGGCAAAACTATCACACTCGAAGTCGAAGCCTCTGACACAATAGAAAATGTAAAAGCTAAGATTCAAGACAAAGAAGGCATTCCTCCTGATCAACAGCGCCTGATCTTTGCCGGAAAGCAATTGGAAGATGGCAGAACACTTTCTGATTACAATATCCAGAAGGAATCTACGCTTCATCTGGTCCTGCGTCTTCGTGGAGGAATGCAAATCTTTGTGAAGACACTCACAGGCAAAACTATTACACTCGAAGTCGAAGCCTCTGACACAATAGAAAACGTAAAAGCCAAAATCCAGGACAAAGAGGGAATTCCTCCCGATCAACAGCGTTTAATTTTTGCTGGAAAACAATTGGAAGATGGACGAACGCTTTCGGATTACAACATTCAGAAAGAATCCACACTTCATCTGGTCCTGCGTCTTCGAGGTGGAATGCAAATCTTTGTAAAGACACTTACTGGGAAAACCATCACCCTTGAAGTAGAAGCTTCAGACACTATAGAGAATGTCAAAGCAAAAATCCAGGATAAAGAAGGAATTCCTCCCGATCAGCAACGTCTCATTTTTGCCGGTAAACAGCTGGAAGACGGCAGAACTCTTTCCGACTATAATATTCAAAAGGAATCTACACTTCATTTAGTCCTGCGACTTCGCGGAGGCGCACACCTTTGAAGCCGAAAATCCAGAAAAATATTGCTAGTCGCAAATTGCGTAGTAGTAGTATCAGTAGTGTGTCAATAACCTTTTTTATTTTTACTTACGCTTCAAGTCTGTACTCGAATGCGTGCGCTTTTTATGATATTATTTTTCAAAAATTATTATTTGAGTTAAAATGCACGACAAGAATGTAATAAATTGTAATCCATCTAAATAGATACATTCTCATGCAATTTAAGCATTAAATTACGTTCAGAATTGATTCATCTTGAATGATTTTTTCTGACCTTTTCGCAGAATGATTGCTTTAAAACGCAACCAGAATTTAACTTCATAGGATTTATTATGTATAACTTTACAAATATCATATAGTTCGCACGATATTGTCATAATATTACGAAATAAAATACTGTGTTTTAAGGTAAGTATTTGTATTTTACTTAATCTTTTATATCGGTCATTGATATTTAATTTGGTAATGAATGAAAAATAAATATCAAGATATATATTTTGTACTAGTATTATTTTTAAATAATTACTATAAATTACTCGAATTCGGCTACTGATTTTTCATCAATAAATACAAATATCAATATCTTTTACTTTTTAGTATCAAAAAAAGAATGACAATAGATAACAAAAAGGATAGTATGTAGAGAGAGAGAGAGAGAGAATTTCTTTTTACCAAGGAAAATTTATGAAAATCTATATTTCATAGACATAATGAGTAAATAATAAAAGATATTTGATGAAAAATTGCGTTTTGATTCGCGTTGATCACGACCATACGCAGTATGATCGTTACATTATTTCATGCACAGAGAACTATGTATTCAGTCTAATATAATATCATATATATTAAAAAATATAAGCGTAGCAATAAGTCCAAATTCTTCATAGACTTATTATATATTTACAATATGATTGACTAATTATACTACTGATAAAATATCTAGAATCTAGACTAATGCAGGTGACGAGTTACTTAGGATGGCCTTTTAATTTCTATTCCTTGTACTGTTCTTTCTCACAGGTCCTAAAATAATTATCATATCATAGACGCAAAAAAATGTGTATAATATTAACAATTTTAAATGATTAGATTTATATCACTCACCAATAAAACTTAATAATACTGGTAAAAATATTAAACCGTGCGCTGCGCCAAATAAAACGATGCCTAGATACATTCTGAAATAAAATACTCGGAAAATATGCGATTTCGCGAATGCCAACACGATGATTCCCACGAATTTGGTCAAGGTGATCCCCGAGAATACCTATGGGATGAGAACACACGAATAAGTTCGATAATTTCATTTATCTAAAAGAAAAAATGAACTTTTACAAATTTTGATATTATGAAATATATATCGCTTTATTTCTCGCGACATTTAATCGTACTTACAGAACTTCCCATAACAGAAAGCGCCTCCGATGTTTTACCGATCCTTGTCATGACTGTAGAAGTAACGTAGGATTGTACTATATGACTGCAAAATTCTACAGAGATACCAGCCGCCTGTAAATATTCATATTTTAGCCTCCAATCAATTATATAAAAAAATTATTTAATTTAATAAATAAAAAAATATTAGCATTTATATATTATGTAATTATATTATTTAACATTAATATAATGATAATTGTTATTTAATTATAATATGAGAGGGATTTTCTCACTAGAAGAATAGGAAAAAAATGTACAAATTTTACAATTTAACACGAACCATGACTAGATTTACAAGAGAAACCGCGTTTAAACTGATATTCCACCAGTACATTAGGCCTCCTAGATTGACTAGCGTCATCAATACAGTAAGAAGAACAATCACAGCGGAAAAGAATGATAATCCTGTGAGAAAAAGTGTCACTACAAAAATCACGGCAAGGGACAAACCTATTGACGACAGTGTTTCCCACCAGATTGTTAAATACTGTTCGTAGAACACGTAGAAAATACTAAAAACACATCGAAAAATTTGGTTAATAATATATAGAATTAAAAAATACAAATTAAAAAGATATTACAATAATTTATTTTATAAGATCATTAATATAGAATATTTTTCTCTCGTTTGGTATTTGTTTTAAAAATCTTGAATTCCTATTTTCTTCTTATTGCTCTCATCTATTGAATGATATTATACCTGTATGGAAATACTTTGACTTTTTGCTCAGACACTTCGGCATCATTAATCATGTTTGTAATTTTTTCAGATATTATCCTGGCAGCACGCAACGATTCGTACCAATCCGACGATTTTTTTAAAGGAGTATGATAACCCATAAAATATGCATCGCCCACATCAGTCAGATTAACATCGACAAAATTTATTGCCTATTTAGAGATAAGAATTTTAATAATCAAGTTTTTAATTTTTGTCATTTTTAATTTTTGCGTTTTATGATTTTTCGTAAAGAAATTGATAAGAATTTATATTTTGGCGGAACAAAAATTCTCTTCATAACTTATTCAAATGCAATCGTTTTTAATAATATTAACTTACATCGAAATAAGCAGCTTTTCCGGCTTTAGCACATTGCTCATCTGGAATATCATTGATGAAATAAGAGATATACTTCTTGAAGTTTTTTTCGTTTGGACGAGAGGTAATGTTGTCAATAACAATCTTGCATTCCTCGCACTGTGCTGTATAAATAATATTATTTTCAAGGAATCGTATATTTATATTAATGCAATATAATTGATAAAAGACGAATCAAAGTTTAAAAGACAGGTTTCTCAAAAGCTGAGATTATTATTATATATTATTGTGTATTAATATTAATTATTTACCATTAATATGCGGACAAAACGATTGATTGTTAGCGTAATATTTGCAACAATTATCATTCGCCGACCAATCGAGGTAATCGTCTATCCAAGAGGAAGCTGCTTTAGATAAATACGACCTGAAATTATTTATAATTAAGATTCTTCCTGTGGATGTGTGTTGAACAATCAAAAAGATTCAAAAGAATTTTCGGAAAAGACCTTATAAGTCCCAAAAATCGACTAGCAATTATATTTTAATAAAATATAAAAGCAAAATAAGGAAGAATATTTCGCATTAAAGTACAAGAAAATAGATATAGAGAATTACTGTGTTAATTTTACTTATAACTTGCAAGAATATTTTTTCGAGACTTCTAAAAGTATATGAATTGAGAGATACAAACACGGAGGACTGTTTGGCAGCCGAATATATCTGCGCGTATAAAGAATCCGAATTGCATCCTTGAACGCCGCATATGATATTCTGCACTTTCGTCTTGCTATAATCTAGACCTTTTGTTAATACGAAATATATAGGTGGTCCCATTGACAAAAGATCGTCCATGTACTATGCAAATAAAATATAATATTTAAAGCTATAATAATAGATATATGATATTGTGTTGTGTTGATATCGATAATATATTTTAATTCCTTTAGTTTCTTTAATTGTAATTAAATATATATTTTTTCAGATATTTATTTTCAGATATTAAAGTATCACGAATACAAAAAAGGAATCCAAACACTTTAGCTTTAAAATAAAAATCCTTAAAATTTCTTCATTTTTTGTAGTTGATTTTTAAATAATGTATAAATGATTAATTGTATCTTCTATTTCAATAATCACGAGCTATAGATGAATTCCATTTCTTTTCTTTTTTTTTTACCTTGAAGTATTTCAAAACGTAAGAGTCTTCAGGCATCGAGAGCTTCTGATCCAGTCCGATCTCGATCTGTGGTATGACTATAACGTGAGTAGTAAGAGCGGCAACGAAAATAACTAAAATGATCATTCGAACCGGTGTCTTCATAAGAAACGGTGTGTAGACACGTTCAAAGATCGTTTGAATCAAACCCTTGTAATCGTCGGTTTCCGAATTTTCCTTAGTAGAAATACAGCAGAAAACATCCAGACGATTGTTCTAGGAATGCATATCAGTCATTATATTAATTATTTTAAAAATGTTACGCGAGAGAATCAAATTCCTGTTAAAGTTGCAGTATTAACCGTAACATAGGATAGTTAAATAATATTAAGTCGATATAATTACGATTAATATAATTATAATAATATCTTGCAATTGTGCACTATATATATATATGAACTGATATGTTAGCTTTCTTCATAGAGAATTTCGCGAAATCTTCATCTAAATATTCATATTAAATTCATATAAGTTACCTCAACTCTTTTCGAATCGAGAGATAATAAAGCGACAAAAGCCGTTGTCTGGAGGAGAAAATTGATTAAGATTGATAACGAAGCGTACATCGCGAAAGTGTTAACAGCCGGCATCGAGGAAAACGCTCCTGAAATTTTTATTTTTCATAATTATACAGAAATATATTTTCCTTTTTTATATTGTTAAATAAATTTCTATCATATTTTGTACGCATACCTATCAGAAAACAGAAACACTCGGACATGCTAGTGAGTAACATCGAGGGTCCCACCGTAGCCATAATTGTACCAATATGCTCGGAGATCGATTGATCGACGCGTCGAGGAGTTCTCTGATAGCTTTGCACCAAGATGAAAATGTTATCAACTCCGACAGCCAGGACTAAGAAAGGTATTACCTAAATAATGATTTGCTATATTATAGATTATTATTTTTATGTCATTTTTATATAATCTTTTAGGTCACACTCGAATGCAATTATATATACAGAAATTTATGTATATATAATTGCGTATAATAATAATTTTTTCATTTAAATATCAGAGACAATTGTTGAATTTATCTATTTTAATTTTGCGAAATTACACACGCTTTACTTATATATTTATATCCAAATTTTTTTTTAACATACTTTCTTAATATACATAATTTTAATATACTTGTAAAATTTAATTACACTTTATGATGATTCAAATGTTCAATATGAATTATATGTATAAAGTTCCAAATTAATCGTGTTACCTCGATTGTGAGCAGAGTGGTTGGGACTCCAGCATAACCGAAAATTCCAAGAGAACAAGCGACCGATGCTATAACGACAATGATTCCACCAATGCTCAACACGATTCTGCTTTCTCTCTGAATTGGAAAATAATAATTGAATTGTTTAAGATTCGTCGTACGTTTACGCTTCTCGTGATTTTATGATATTGATAAAACTTACAAAACAGCCGACGAGGGAAACTTTGATCTTTCCCAAAGCGAGAGCGACATAAACGAACATGAGCAGGTAGCTGATGACCATTGTTGTCACTTCCGCTTTCGAAGTTCTATCTAGTTCGTCCTGTATTGATTTCTCCGTTGTCCATGCGACATCCATGAACTTTGGTCGACCATCTTGATCCCATTTTGCCATAAAATCGAGAAAGCTAAAATAATCATGACTTAACAGATTGCACAATCCATAACGCATTAATAATTATTTTTGACGCTATTCGGTTTTAGTTTTCCTTTTCTCTTGACTCTTACCGTTGTTCCCATTTTATAACTGGCTCCAGATCCTTCTCCTTGAGCGAATTTTTCACCAGAAATGTTAAAATTAATCCTGTCGCTTTACTATAATCCGTTGAATCGTACTGAAATTCGCCCTCTCTCAAAAAACCTCCGATGGCTATGGCAGGTATTATAGGTCCCTTATACGGCGCTAGACAATCCATATTAAATGGATTTCTGAAAATTCAATTTACTATATTAAAAAGCTTATATTATATTAATATATTAGAATTAGAATTTAGAATCAATTTTTTTTTAATCCTTATTATGCAAAATATATTTTTTAAGAGAAAGACTCGATG